GACTATGTTAGATGTGGACTGAGAACTGTCCTCGGGTGTTACTGCACAGTGTTGCAAAACGAGGACACTGATACAGGTTTTTATGGGTCTTTTTATTTGCTACAGGAAGAGGTGAACATAAACCTGTGGATTTTATTTATATAAAGAGGCTGCCTGTCATCCAAAGAGGAGCGGGCAGCATAAAGAGTGATACATCATGTTCCATTGAAACACAGCTGAAGTACCGTTTCCTCTTGAATTATTTACTCAAGACTGTCACAGTATCCGTGAGAAATTCAATCTACCAAACTGGACATTCAATATCCTGTCAAACATTTATCGTGTTTCTACACTGTGTGGAGAAGGCTTACCCACAGTGTCAGTGTCTTTTAGGACCAGGTTTTTGGAAGATTGGCATCTGTATCTTTTCTCAAAGACTATATAGTAAATCATCAATATTTGGTCTGATTCATCCTGCACTTCATTGTGCAAAGAAAACAAAATGTATTGAACACAAACTCCATTTCTGAAACTTTTTTTGTTTGTTTGTTTCGGCTGATGTCATATAGACCATGCAGGTGGGAAAAATTATTAACCAATAGCCTATCAGCATTTATGGCATTATTTTAGAGTACTGTTGTAGGTAATGCACCTATTCTTAAATCTTGCCATTAAGTACACACTAATTTAATGCTGATTAATGAAAATAGTGCAAATTGCATCAACAACAGCAAACAGTCTAACTGAGATAAACTGTATCTAGATGCTCTCAAGTAAACTTTTTCACTCAAAACATTTCAAAAGTTTGTGTATCACCTGCTGTCACTGTTTCGGGACCTTCACAATCCACTGTAAACTACATTCTGGTCTGGCTAAATTTTGATAAGGAAATCCCACTTTTCACAATCCAATAAACTCCTCTATAGACAAATTAAGACCTGTCCTAAATATTCATATGTAATCCTTAGTCCCACTTGGAAATATGTCAAATTACAGAAGTTAAAATGGGTTCTGAATGTCATTTCATGTCTACCTTGAGGATCCTAATGGGATAACCAAACAACTAAAATCCTTTTTAATCTTAAAGTCCCATTTCCAGTGTATTTGTACAGAATTTTGTACAGAATTAGCAGATGTTTAAAGGATCCTTTATGATTCTTTGAATGCTTTAAGATAATTCCATTAGAATCCTGCACATTCCTTTGGGATTTATTGACTAACAGTAACATCACTCATCTATAACTTGCATACGACTCATCACAGGAGAGTGACAAGTGTCTTTCTGTGTCTTATTATTTTGTTTTCCCTCTGGCTTTCCTCTAGTTTTAAAATGTAAAATTATTATTTTTTGCTGCGGGAGCTCGAGTAGTTTAAAAATTCACAGTGGGATTATTTGAATCTGCGATACGAATGATACTGCTTTAGCATTTTACACATGCAATTACAGCCTGCAGGCTAGATTACACATCTGCTGTGAAACTTGTTAAAAACAAGCTTGCATAAGTGTGGTCGTGACACTATGCACTGCTCTGCACTGCCTACGGTCTTGATATGGATGCTAGTGCGGTGGCGAGGGTTATACACTAGCGAAAACGGAGAAAGGAAGAAAGAGTTATTAAATTAAGTTGTGTATAGATGCCAAATTAGTTTAAAATCTTCATTCACACAGCATGATACAATCGCTGGAATATCCTCTAATGTGTGACTCATGGCTGACTCATAAAATAAAAAAACTGATGGCTTAATCCAAAATATTACAAGATTAGCGTTTTGCTAATCTTTTTTTTTATTGCAGAAGATTAGTCACATGCATTCTGTAAACAAGCATTCGCATATTTCAACATGTAAATACTCAGACACATATGTGCAAACATCTATAAAATCAACAGCTGCACGCGTTTTAGTCAACTGAGGGAGAAAAAAATAACAGGAATCTCATCTCTTTCACACGTCTCTGTGTGGGCGTCCGCACACGTAAACATCGACCCGCCAAGCCACGTCCTACCCATCAACACGAACGTGTAAACATTCATTAGACCGATCGGAAGAGCCTTCGCCTTATTCCATCTCTCAGAGGGCTCAAAGTGCATTCAAAAGCAGGGAGAGGAAGGCTAATGAAAAGCTCTTCTGCTGCAGCTTCGCTTGAAAACAGAAGCAGAGAGAAAAGCAAAGCACTGCTTATTAACTGGCTTTTGTTTTGGTATTTCGCGGGTGTGCGTCATGCTCATCAGCAGCTTAAAGGGCTCTCTGCCTCCCGCTCAACCCACTCACAGCTCCTGTGTGCTGAGACTTAAAACATTCTCTTCACCTCAATCTGCTACTGTAACTACAACACAAACTGTATTACATTTCAGGGTTACAAGGTTTTTGGATGGAGATCTGAGGCAGTTTCGTGAAGCCAGACTTTTGATAATCATAGTCTGCTCCACATTGCAGCCGGCCGCTTGAAAGAATATTCCAGGTTCGGTACAATCGACAACATTTGTGGCATGATGTTGATTACCACAAAAAAAAAAAAAGAAAAAAGAAAATCAACTCGTGCCCAGTGAGGAAATTAAATGTCAGTGGATAGGGCCCATATTCAGAGGATTTAAAATCACAAATTTGAAGCTTTATAATTTTTTACAGTGGTTTTAGGGTTTTTGAGGTTGGCAACGGTCATGGCAATGAAGTTGTAAAATTGGATATAGCTTTACAAGAAAAAGGTTAATATCAGAATCAGAATCAGAAGAATCAGAATCAGAAGAGCTTTATTACCAAGTATGTTTACACACAAGTAAAACTTATAGAAGAATGACAAAACACAGAACAAACCAACAAAAACAATAGAAGAATCGCAGAGCTCAGCGTCCTTGCTGCCATTTGCAGCGCCATGCTGGTATCGAATGAATAAATAATATGTTTATATTCATGCTGTTTATGTCTTGTGGCTATGCTGTTATTATTAACAAGCTAAAACTATTAAATATCGCTTTTGTTCAATGAAAACAAAAAACTTGAATAAAATATATAATAAAATATATA